TATTCGGCTTGGTTGTTGGTCGTTGGGAAAGCTAGCGTGAGGGAGACTTCGATGACCGTACCCTCGTCGTTGTCGAGGACGATGCCGGCGCCGCTCCCCGTAGAGTTGGAGGAGCCGTCCACAAAGATGGTCCAGAGGTGGTTCCTGGTGGGCGGGTCGGGGGGCGTGGTCATCTCGGCTACGAAGTCAGCCAACGCTTGAGCCTTGATGGCGTGCCGGCTCTCGTATGTGATGTCGAACTCGGAGAGCTCTAGCGACCATTTCAGCATGCGCCCAGCCATGTCTGGGCGGCCGAGTAGCTGGCGGAGTGGTTGGTCGGTGCGGAGCACGATGGTGTGTGCTAGAAAATAATGCCGGAGTCGGCGTGCCGCTGTAACGAGGGCCAGGGCGACTTTCTCGATCAGCTGGTATCGGGCCTCCGGGCCGTGGAGGGCTTTACTAGTAAAATAAATGGGCTTTTGTCCTTCCCCGGCTTCGCTCACGAGGACGGCGCTGACGGCTTCGTTAGAGACGGCCAGATATAAGTACAGGGTTTCGCCCGTCGCGGGGCGCGTCAGTACTGGTGGTTCGGAGAGGACGCGTTTGAGGTGGCGAAGGGCTCTCTCACATTCGTCCGTCCATTCGAACTTGGTCTCCTTCCTGAGCAGTTTGAAGAACGGGAGGGCGTGTTGGGCCGATCTCGCGATGAATCGTGAGAGGGAGGCTAGTACGCCGTTGAGGGACTGGATGGCACGCTTCGTGGTCGGCGTGGTTATATTGGAGAAGGCGTGGCACTTGTCCGGGTTGGCTTCGATCCCCCGTTCGGTCAAGTAGTAGCCGAGGAATTTACCGGCGCAGACGCCGAAAGTGCATTTCTCCGGGTTAAAGCGCATGCGACATGATCTCGCGGTCTTGAAGACCTTCTGGAGATGTGCCGCATGGTCGTCTTCCGCGCCGGATTTGACGATCATGTCGTCCATATAGACTTCGAGCATGTCCCCGATCTCCTTGTGGAAGACGCGGTTCATCATCCGTTGGTACGTGGCCCCGGCGTTTTTGAGGCCGAAAGGCATTACGTTGTAATAGTAATTGCCCGATGCTGTCATGAAGGCCGTGGCCTGTTTGTCGTGTTCGGCCATCGGGATCTGATTGTATCCCGAGTATGCGTCCATGAAGGACAAGAGTTTGAAGCCCGCCGAGTTGTCGACGAGCTTGTCGATGTTGGGGAGGGGGTAGGCGTCCTTAGGACATGCCCGGTTGAGGTCAGTGTAGTCAACACACATGCGCCATTTTCCATTATTCTTTTTAACAAGTACAACGTTGGACAGCCAGGTGGAATACCGGGCTTCCGAAATAAAATTTGCCTCTAAGAGGTCTTTTACAGCTTGTTCGGCTGCTGCCGATTTTTCTGGAGACTGGCGGCGACGGCGTTGCACCACGGCCTTTGCGGTCGGGCTGATGGACAGCTGGTGGCAGGCGACCTCAGGGTCGAGTCCCGGCATTTCCGCGGCGCTCCAGGCGAAGAGGTCGGCATTCTCGCGGAGGCAGGCTTGGAGCTGTCGTTTCGCGAGGTCGGGGAGTCCTGCGCCTACCCTTACGGTTCTGGTCGTGTCGTCCCCGAGGGGAATGAGCTCGAAATCGCCATCCGGGATGGGGCGCGCTGGATGCTCGTTGGCCGCGTCAGTCTTTTTATTGTCGAGCTCGTCGGTGAAGCGACTGTCGAGCTCGACTGATCCGACCAGCTCTGTTGGCTTGTCCTTTGGCGTAGCGCTCGGTGCTTTCTTTTTGGTCGGTGGAGCGATGGAGTCGAAGCCTTTCAGTGCGGCTTCAAAACACCTTCGGGCAGCTTCGATGTCGCCGTTGAGGGTGACCACGGCTCCCCTTCTCGTGTAATATTTCATCTTCAGGTGGGCGGTGGAGGGTACCGCGGTGAGCTCTGCTATCGTTGTCCTGCCCAGGATGCAGTTATACAGGGACGGGCATTCGATGACTAAGAAGCGGATGCTGATGTCTCTGGCCGTTTCCTCTTCCCCAAAGGTGACTTTCAGTTCCACGTATCCCCAGGGTCTTGTCGTCGTCCCGTTGAACCCCTGGAGGTCGGAGCCTACGTAGGGGGAGAGGTTGGACTCGTTGAGCTGGAGAGTCGTGAACAAATGTGAGTACATTATGTCAACCGAGCTCCCTCCGTCGACGAGGAGGCGCCTGACGTCGAAGTTTGCCATACGTGCGCGTATGAGCAAGGGTATGTTGGAATTGGGAGATCCCCCGGGTAGTTCCTCGAGGTAGAACGTGATCGGGTTGGAGCGGCCTCGGAATCTGTCGAGCGTGCTCATCTTGCCGGAGTTGCCCGCGATGAGTTCGTCGAATTTCCTTTTCACAGATCCTATGGACAGACTCCTCGTAGCGCCATCAGAGATGACCATGGCTCTGGGGAAGTATTCCCATCGGCTGGTTGGTCGGATTGGCTCGCCGACTAAGCTGGGTGCTTCGGGGATGCCGAGTCCTCTGCTTGCGAACCAGTCCTCGGGGCGGCTGACGCACAGCGCGACCTGGAGTCTCTCACCGTCTTCTGGGCAGGGGAGCTCCTCGATTTTCTTTGCCTCCGGGGCCTCCGATCTGGGTGGTTCACCTCCCCGGGTGTATCGCTTTAAGTGCCCATCTTTGATTAGGATTTCGATCGCATCTTTGAGATGGATGCAGTCTTCCGTTACATGCCCGTGGGTCCTGTGGAACCGGCAGTACTTTGACTTGTCCACGTTGGGTTTGGGCGGCGTTGGTCGTGGAAAACGGACACCTCCCTGCACAAACTCGGTTTTAGCGCATTCGGCCAGTATGCGTTCGCGGGAAGCGACCAAGGCGGTGTACTCGGTGAACCTTCCTGCCGGGCCGCGCGACTCGCGCTGTTCGCGGGGTTCGCGGTGGCGGTCATCCCGACGGCGGTCCCCTCCTCGCCGGTGGCTCGAAGCTCCGTCGTCTCGGTGCCCGCGGGGGGCTTCTCTGTCTCGGGTGTCGCGGGCGGAGTTGGCCGCTTGTGTTTCCTCGAACCGGATGTAGTGGGCGGCCCTGTCGAGGAAGTCTTGGAGGGACGTGGGCCGGTGTATGCCCACGGCCTCGTAGAATTTGGAGTCATGGCGCAGGCCTTGCTCCATTAAGTAGCGTTTCATTTCGTCGGAAGTCGTCACCTGTACGGCTTCCCGAGTAAATCTTTCGATGTATTTCCGGAGGGGTTCGTCGGGGCCTTGGATGATCGCCCCGAGGACTGCTTCCGTCTTCGGGTGACGCCGGGACGCTGTGAAGTGTTTGGAGAATAGGTCCTTCAAGACCCTCCACGATGTAACTGATTCGGGCTCCAGGCTTTTGTACCAGGTCATAGCGCCTTTCCTCAGAGTCGTCGGGAAGAGTCTGCATTTGATAGCTCCCCGGACATTGCGGTAGTCGAGCATGGCCTCGATGTCTTCCAGATGATCGTCCGGGTCGGAGGTGCCGTCGTACGTTGACAGCGTCGGTGGCTTCTCCATTCCTTGGGGTATAGGGGCCGCCATGATCTCCCGGGATAGTGGGGTGCGGTAGTCATCCTCGTCGCTGTGCGCCGGGGATCTCAGGGGGGATGAGCCGGTCGCGGTGTGTCCCGGGTTTCGGGCCCTCGATCTCCGGCCTGTGCTCCCGCCTCGGGTTTCCTCGGTTGGGGTTGCCGCGGCGTTCTGGTTCCTCCCGCGACCGTGTCTTGCCGGGGATCTGGTGCGTTCCCGTGTCGCTTGGGGGCGGCGTCTCTCCAACCGCGGTCGGCGGTTCCTGGGTCGAGGTGAGGGGCTCCTCGAACCTCCGTTCTGGTCTTCCCGCTGGGGGTACCTCGGGGAGCCGCCGCGTTCCAACGCTCCAATTCTAGCGTTCTGTTGGGACAGCAGCTGGTTCGTCTGGTTGATGGCTGCAAAGAGGGCGGCTACCGTGGGGTCCGCTCCCGCCGGGATGGGAACAGGGTGGAATGCCGGCGGGCTCGGGGGGCGATGGTCGGCGTGCAGGGGCCTTTCCTCGGACGATGGCGAGGCGGTTTGCCCGTCTCTTTCGTCGGCTTCATTCAGGCGCGCCGTTCCTACCTGCTTCCCGTTGGTGGCAGTGTTGAGCGCGAGATCGAGCGGAGTGTCGTCGCGGCGTGGGCTGGCCATAACCGTGGAGGTTTGGTGAAACTTTTGGTTTTTCTGCTCGGAGTAACGGGGAAGTTTCCGTTCCCACAGACGGCGCCACTGATCTGACCTGATCAGGAGGGATCACGGACTGGCCACGCTTCGCCGGACGGTTATCTGTTCGCCGAGGTAAGAACGAGGAGGGGGTGTACCTGCAAAGCACTCCGACGCCCAAGTAAGAAGTTGGACAGAGAGGAAGCAATAGTACAGAAAAGGGGGCAAGAAGAGTTACCTGACCCTCTTGAAGAAGAGGGTATTTATAGAGAGACCCCAGCGCTGGGCCAACGGTCATTCGAGGTGGGCCAGACGACCAGGCCCAACCCTAATGACTGTTAGGGCTTACGTGGCGTAGTGAAGACCAGGACGTGGTCTTCGCCCTAGTTCAACCGCTCCTAGGTCTCCGGAAAGTGGGTTTGACCTGCTCTTTCGGAGGTGGGCGGTTGGCCGATGACGTGTCCCCGCGGAGGGGAGCACGTGGAGAACGTGCGCCGAGCACGTTATTCTCCCGCGGAGGGAAGCGCATGGACAACGTGCGCCGAGCACGTTATTCTCCCGCGGAGGGAGCCCGGGTAGTCTCGCTCGTCTGGTGTGACGGACGACGAAGGGGATGCGGCGTGATGGCTTGTGCCCGGCGGACGGTCCTGCTCGTCCGAAGGGGCGTGTGCCAGGTGTGCCCAGTTCGCCGTATTTGCTAAAGAAGACATGTTTGTCTATCTTTATCCACTAAAAAAATATATAAAACAACGTTGTTGGTTTGTGTCTAGCTTTATTATCACCTAAAGTTCCACTAATTATAAACAAACAAAAATAAAATATTGCAAAAAATTAAAAAGGACTCACATTTGAATTAGTTTGGCTCATCATTGTAACCATTTCATTCAAAAAATCTCCCATACCCTGCAAAACAAAGTTCATTTTCTTATACATTAGTACATCAAAATTATTGGATCTAAAACACTCCTTCATATGATTGAAAACAATAATCAAATTCACCCCCTTTTCTCTAACTAAACTTGATTCAATGAATTATTCCATTTTATTGAAACATATAAACAATGTGCCCCATGTGCTATGTGACACATACATTGACTTGATCTGCAAGAAAATGTATCTCCTAAACAGATCATATTGCAGAGACGTGAGTTAGAATCAATAATATTTCAAATTTGGACTCTTAAATTATTATATAAAAAAATTTATTAATATTTCAGAAAAATAATATATAAGAGAGTGACTTACATTTTCATCATCATCATTGTCGTAAACTCCAACATCGTACATCAACCTCTTATTCGAGTCAGATAAAACTGTCACACAAAAAAACACTATTTACATTTTAGACCCAATATTCAAGTAAAATTAAAATTTTCAACTTTTCTTCAATTTCGAGAAGAAAATAAACAAATAAATCATGGGTCATGAAAACAATTAATATTAAATTATAAAAAAAAAAAAAAAAAACACATGAAATTCATGTGGAAAATTACCAGAATAGGCCTCTTGAATCGCCTGAAATTTCTTCTTAGCTTCTTCCACAAACTTCACATTTCCTGAAGCTGAACAACGATCTGGGTGCCATTTCTTCCAACCATGAAAAAAATTTGATTTTTAGATGAACAAAAAACAGAGTAATTAGTTACCATAGAAAGAGAAAAAAAAATTTATATTAAATTCTAACCATTGCAAGTTTCTTATAAGCATTCCTTAGCTCTGAATCAGTGCATTCTTTATTCAATCCCAAAACCGCATAAAAATCATTGCTTTTGTTCCCTTCATTAGCCATTTTTTTCCAACAAAAAAAAATCCAAAATTTCACAACCTAGAACTCTCCAAAAAAACAAATCAAACTAACGTTTGTGTCGGCAAATTGAACCAAGATGCAAATTCCGTACAACCTTAAAAAAAATGAAGAAGCTGAAAAGTCATAGATATACAAACACAATCACAATAACATTATTATGATGTGATTATATAGACATAAAATATGTAATATTAATAATATACAACTTGGATGACAACTTGGGTTTTGTTTAGTTTAGTTTAGTTTAGGTTAGGTTAGGCTACATGTTTGTGAATAGGTACATAGAATGAAAGGTTGAAGTGAAAAGAGAATACTCTAGAGACTACAATTCTAGACTTTATATATAGTTTTTTTTTGGGTTTATTTAAATATTATTTATTAAAATATGAGAGTGTTGTTTTTTGTTTTGAATGATTAATTAATTGAAAATAGAGAAGTGGTTTTGATGTAGGGTTGAGATTCTATGTTGATGAAGATATTTTAGTGAGAAAGTGTGTCCAGAAGGTTCTTTGTGGATGTGAAAGGTCTTTAACTTCTTTTGTTGTTGTTGTGTGTGTGTAATGAAATAATAATAAAGTGAAAACGTGAGATTGTGAAATTGTTTTTATAAAGAGAAATAAAAGATGAATTCAGGGTGGGATCCATTGGAGATGTTACTATGGCTGTTTAACAGATTTGGGAATGAATTGATTGATCATACTCCATTGTCTTTGTCAGATGATAAAGAAATTGGTAAAAGGTGGTGGAGGTTGTGGAAATAGGTTTGTTGAAATATGTATTGGAATTATTATTTTTTATTTATTCAATGTGTCAACTAGCAAATGAAGTGATGTGAGCTTCAAATCTACAAAAGATTGGGTTAAGGACTTGGAAATGTACTAAAAATAATAATAAATTTAATTTTTTTTATATGTTGTTTCATTTTTGTGGGTAAACAATTTTAAGTAATTTTTTTAATAAATAAATAGAATATATTAAAATAGGGACAAAGGGTGCTCAACCATTACGAAGCAAAGAATTACAAAAAAAAAAAAAATGAGAAGTAAAATAAGTATTTGGTTAAATAGAATAATAGATTATTTTGCCACACCAACAGATCAACAACAATCCGGCCACACAATTTGGCTAAAAACCACTCTCTAGACAATCCATGTGGTTTTCAACAAATGCCCTCAATTTCTGGAGATATATTGATCGCGACTTTCTATGTCTAATACAACTAACTGCAAGTGCACAGTCTATCGCGTAGTAATAAAAGATATCGATCCTACAGGGACTCGTAATCGAACTAGTGTTCTCGGGAGTTACTATGTTTAGCTAGGTAGAATATGTTTTAAGGGAATAAGATTGTCACTAAGAGGGGAAACTAAGATTACTATTTAGATTTTAATTAATCGAATCGATACGTAGTAGTTATGTTCTTCAGGGATTTGATAAGTTACTAGTGTATGAAATAGTTTTCGCAGTTTACTTAAGCAGAAAGTGGAGATTTGAAGACTCTCGTCTCACGATGGTTATTGACGCTAATCATAATCCTAAGGGCCTAACGTACACTTTCGTGTTCCGTTCGGGGTTAAAACTACTTTTTGGAAATCTCTAAGTTCTAATTAGTTTTAAAGTGCTTTCGCTGTTATTAAAACGAATGCCTAGTGTTTACTATCTGACCTTACCGCAGCTTTCGCTTGTTGGTTCGTATCTTAATTAATTTCCCACTTTCGTGGCAAAACTACTTTAAAACAAGTTCTCGCTTTCGCGACGAAGTTTATTTCGTAAATCAATTTTTAAACACTTAGACCATAAGTTATTTTTGTGAAAAGAAAGTTTTCAAACAAGAGTTATCAAATCCCATCCGAATTATTACTACATATTGATTACCTAAGTTTAGCTAGACATGGAATTTGGAAAAACAAAACATAAGTAATAATAATAAATAATAAATTGCATTATGATAAAATAAGAGTCGATCAAAATGAAAACCTGTAAATAATGCCAATTGGCCTTTGGGCAGATCCTCCACAGATGTTGGCAGGATTCTGTCTTTAGTTCCAATTCGATCGTACAGTGCAGTAACAAATACAGAAGAGCGGAAATGGGAATGAGTAGAATGGAAAGGGAAATAAAGGAAAGGGGTACAAATAGAACTGGAGAAATGGATACAAATAATAACTGAAAGTAAATTTGCTGGAAAGTAAATTTGGCAGCACTTCGTGGTATGAATGCAGCTCCCTTTTTGAAGTCTCCTGCTTCCCTTTTTATAGAGGTGGGATTCCAACGGTTACCTCTGAGGATGATGGACCTTGAGGCAGATAATTTAGGGAGTAGTGGACCATTAAATGAGAATTGGAACTGCTCTTTTGACGTGTAATCTGAGTGGGGCGTTTTTGCCTGCATGACGGTCGTCACAAGGTGTGACGGTCGTCACCCGTGTGACGGTCGTCATGCATCTGTGACGGTCGTCACATCAGCAAAAACTGTCTGTTGCGCTTTTCATTGTGTTTTCACTCCTTTTTCGTCCATATTTCATCTGGGATTGCTTCTTTTCTTCATGTTGCCTTGTTTAGATGTGATCGTTGAATACCTGCAAAAATATCAGACAAATACATGGAAATAACCCGAAATCGGATCGAAAACGGTTAGCTTTTAGTCGAATTAGGCATGAAAATATCTATATGATTTCGTGTTATCAAACTCCCCTAAGCTTGAATCTTTGCTTGTCCTCAAGTAAAACGTGGAAAAGTCGGCAAGCACGAGGCTGCTTCTTCGTTCGCGGAGTTTGGAAAAACTGGGATTCTTGGTAGGAACAAGACGAGTATCGCGGCGACACTGGACTACAAGTCTCCGGAGGTCTCCCTTTTATGCAAATCGGTCTCAGTCATGCTACCGTATCTTGGTGTCAAGGTTCTCGTGGCAAGTTCACCCTGTTTGTTCTAGCGCAATCACATTAAGCCCGTTGTCCGCACACTCTCATGGCAAGTCGACCTGTTAGTGAATATGATCTCGTTTTTGTTTTTGATCTTCTTTGTTGATCATAATTTGGTGTCATTGATTTTTCAATGAGTTTTTCGTGCCGTTGGGCTAAATGCTCGGGTGAGGAGCACCTAACTTAGAAGGAAACGAATCTTATATTCTTGGGCTTTTTAGCTCTCTTTTCATGATTTTTCATCTTTTTGGAGATCATACACTTATTTGCATCGGTCGCTTGCTTAGAAGTGTTTTTAGGATGGTACTGAATGCTAGTATAAACTACTTGGGGTTGAGTTTGCGTAGCCACTTGAGACTTTGGTACACGTAGGTGGTGAAACCGACTCGCATAAACTAGAGATCTAAGGTGTCTGGACGATACTGGTTTTGTTAGAACTGTCGTTTCCTCGGAGTTTCAAAACTCGGTTTGAACTCAGGTGCATTCTTGTGATGCTTTTGCTCTTGAGGAACAAATGAAAGTTTTTGTTTACGTCGAAAAATGTGGGGATTGTTTGCGTAACGTGAAAAATATATAGACGCGCTTTATTTGCTAGAAATAGAAAGTGTAAAATAGAACTTACTAAAATTCGAAAGTGCAGTGAAATGGAAATACAGTAAATAAGGGAAGTTCTGAATACAGTGGAAATAAGGCTCCGCTCCCACACTATCTCGATCAGTGTCCTCACTGATTCTTGAAGCATGCGAGAGGGAGATACAACTGAAAATGAAAATACATAGAACAGAAATATAGTAAACAATAAAGGAAAAAAATGAAAATCTAGTCCCGGGGCCTGTCACGTCCACGCTGGCGTCCTCTGGCTCTAGCAAGGGCGACTCTATCCTCATAGCTCATGGCTCCGGTGTGGTAGACCGTGTCGCGGAGGCCTTCGACCTGCAGGGTCAGATTCGCTAGACTCTTAGTAATCGTAGCTTGGCCGGTGTGAAGTTGTTGCATTTGAGTCCGATGCCAAGCTTCGAACTGGTCAGCTCGCTGGTTCTGCTGCTGCAGCATCGTGAGTATCTGTGCCTGCTGGTCTAGGGAGCGAAGGAGGTCCTCTTCAGTGTAGTCGGGCACGGGGTGGTGACGGCGGCGGCGGGATGATGTACCTACTGGAGGAGGAGGCTGCGATGCCTCTGGCTGCTCGGACCTGTCCAACTCAGCTTGGATTTCATCTTCGGAATCATGAGTGGGTTCCTGAGTAGGAACAGCGGCAGCAGGAGGGGCAGTGAGGTCGAACAACCAGTTGGTACGGTCCTCAGGATGGATGCGGGTGCGAGACGGAAGGATGATGCTTCTGACGGTCTTGCCACGCACAACCGGATGATATTTCCCGTCAGCTCGGGAGCGGATGAGATGGGAGGCCCTGTAGTGGTCGGTGTCAAGGAACACCAAGGGGATGGACTGGAGGTGCTGAAGGCGGTCGCCAAGGTTCAGCCCAAGTGCAATCGTCGTGACAATCCCGTCAAAGTAGAATAGCTTCGAGCCACGGTTGCAGTTGGCCTGAATGTGGGCCAGCAGGAACGGGGCAGCGTTGACTGGTTCGTTGTTGAAGACGCAATGCAGAAAGAAGAGCTCCTTGGAGTTCACTTTGTGGTTGCTGTCTCTGGCGAAGATGATGTTGCTCAACACCCTGTGAAAGTACCTGATGGTGGGGTTATGGATGTGAGTGGCGTGTAGGGAGTCCCAACCATCGGCGTTTAGGCCGGTCAACTGATACCACAGCGCGAAGGCGTCGTGCTGGAACTGATCAGTGATGCGGCGATGAGCGTTGTCGCCGCGGGGTAACTGTAGGATGCCGGCAATCTGGTTTTGGTGCAGCTGATAGTTAACGCCAAACATCCGGAAACAAGCGGCACCTGAGTGCTGGTTGAGTTCGTCGCTGCTGGTGATGTAGGAAAACGAACTCAAGAACTCAAGGGTGAGCTGTTCGTAGGTCGGCTGGGGGTTGGAGCAGAGGTTCCAGATGCCTGCTCGTTGAAGCATCCAGGTGACACCTTCGAGGAGTCCGAGCTCCGTAAGT